CCATTAACTCCAGTAATTAAATCCGGTCTACTTGGCCGAACTCATGACTATCATTTTCGTAATATAAATCCTGACCTTTTACCAATAATGTCTGATCTTTCTCCATGCGTAATTGTAATCCAATTTGAACTGCAAAGTGGAATTTAATCAAACATTCTCATTCTCATTCAAGAAATATTAAATTTGTATACATTTCGTGGGTGAGAAATTGTTCTTTTAGAAGAATGGATGGTGAAGAGCTGGCGACCAGAAGGGTTGTTATTATAGAAGTTTAATGCACACAGAGTGCGGAAGTTTTCATATGAAACTCATATAAATGTGCACTCCATATTCGATTACGTTACTAAGTTTCGATTAAAACTTTAGTTCATGCAAGGATTGAAATACGCTTGCTTTAAAAAATTTTCAGACGCAGGAACTAAATTGAAAACGAAATGAGGGACCGTTGACTAACCATGCACTCAATAATGACCAAATTGTGGACCAAATATTTTATAGTAAAAAAACAGGGCCGGTCAAGTAATCGTTCAATCTTACATTCTGGGGCAAGACTTAATATATAGCGGTATCCACCGGCCTATGCAACTGACCCCTTGAACATGGTCAATAGGGTAAAGTATCTCGATGATAGTTCAAGGAATACCCTGATTAGTATTTTCTAACCATGTCGACGGACACGTTCAGCGCTGTTTATCGTGCGTTAATCCTTTCAACCGCATGATATTAAATAACATTACAAATATTTGACTTGCACCGAAGGACGTATGCGATGTTATGTAAATGTGCAAACATATTACAAGTTCTTCATTGCGGTTACAAAACTGTTAATCTCAGAGTCGTAGCCGTTACTATACGTTAATAAAACAATTAAGAGAAATTAATAAAAAAAACAGTCATATAATTATATACATGTTTAAATGAAGAGTTCCCTTAGAAGATGTGCTTTAAATGCAAATGTTAGTTTGCCCATGCATGTAGAATGCGATAATGATTGATTACTTGACAGCCTCTGTTTCTTTTCCATATTAGTCTACGCGGTTCGTACTTTCTTTTAAAAGCATGCAAGGTTCATCCCATAGAAAAAAACAGCCATTTCTGCTATTGCGGCATGTGCAAGAAGCTTAATTTCATTATATTTACAATTATAACCTTGCATGCTTTCCATATACTCTAAATAAATCTAATCAAGGTCATACGTGCTAAGGAAGGTCGTGTTATGGATGGGCATGAGCAGCAGTGGTGAACGTGTTTACAAATACTCTTCTTGGAATGTGCTAGACAAAATTTCATTGTTCCACCCACACACAGGCTCTGATATATAAGGCTGAATTAGTTTGACCATGCTAGGGCTTAATTAGCTTCACGAGTTATTAACAAGATCACTGAGAAGAGATTTCGAAAATGTTGTTCCTTCTTTTCGCTAGTATTTTTTGTATGATCAGTCACGGCGAAGCAATTTGTTGTGAAGAAATCAAGTCGATAATGGACAAGAAGATTGAAGCAAAAAATACACTATGCGCTCCAGGACACAATCTCCCTCCAGGCTGTTGCGAGGATATTTTCAAAGGAGTTGAAGAGTATATTGCTGCGTATGAAGCTCTTTGTGGGAACAATACAGGTAATGTGCAAATATAGTGCATGTCTTTCTAGGGTATGTATGTGCAAACTGGTGTTTGATATTAATTTCGTTATGGTGTATTTACTGACAACGTTGCTTGCGGAAAATATTTCAGAGGCCTGTAGTGACCTGTGACGATAGTTTATGTATAGTCAACGGTTCAATGGTATCGATTTGTTAAATATTATACACTGAATGTGTATTAACTGAATGTGTATAACACGTTAAATATTATACACTAAATATTATACACTGAACATAATAGTCAAATGTTTAGAAAAATCTTTATCACCATATTATATATTAATCACCATATTTTTTTATAATTCTCGCATTTGTTTGCATCGTTACTTCGTTACGCATTATTTCGGCCGCCAATTATGTGGTATTTATAAATGTGGGCAATCATATTTTGAAATACAGCTTTTTTCTGCTAGTTCCATGCATGGACCCCAAGCCATTGGGAATGCAAAGCGGCAAAATACCAAATTCGGCAATCACAGCATCGTCAACCTTTGGTAGTTCTTATTACCCTTACTTCGCAAGATTGAATAAGAATGGCAGTTCTTGTTCTTGGGCACCAACTCATGCAGGAAAAGTTGGCTCGTGGTTACAAGTTGATCTTGGACAAAACACAGCTGTCACAGGATTTTCAACTCGAGGAACATGTTATAACAATGCAGAGTGGGCGATCTCTTACTCGATTTCTTACCGCGACAGTGGTAGTGCTTGGACTCTTTATGAAGAGTCAGGGACTGCAAAGGTGATCAAATAAACAAAAAATATATTTTGCCATTCGCCTTGGCTTTTCACATGTTCTTCCATAAAAATTTGACGAAATTTAAAGTGGGTCGTATAATTATCCAACATACCATAATAATTATATGCATGGCGTTTACAAAGAATTATCTCAATTTTATAATATAATTTTAAAGTGTAAAAAAGTATTAAAAAACGTTACAATATTTCAAAGGGGCTAGTGAAGTTTTAATATATATGGCAGTTTTTAGGACGTGACTTTTTGGCTTAGACCATAAAGCGAATACTTCCACACGGACTTAAGCGCTAAACATTCTGTGCATGGTTGTCCAAACAGGGTGGACAAATGCGGCCCTAGTTGCGTGTAAAAGTGTTGCTATAATTCATCAAAGTTTATAAATTTTTAATAAAACTAATCCTGTTGTTTTTTTGCAGGTTTTTCAAGGCAACAAAGATCAAAACTCCATTGTTACCCACACATTGAAAAATGAAATCAAAGCTCGATACATTCGTGTGTTGCCGAAGTCATGGAGCAACTATCCTACAATGAGACTCGAGTTGTACGGTTGTTACTGAGTAGAACGTCCATGAAACATCCTTAGAGTAAATTTCCCAATAGTTGAAATGTTTAGTGGCGGTAATCACAGACTGGCTTAGTTTTAATTTATAGACTAGCTTGCATGCATGTTTCATCTAATAACTATACAATAAATGAAATAGAAAAAAATAAAATTGGTATCATTGTTTCATCAAAATTCTACTACTTTAACTATATTTATTATATGGCTAGCGTCACTTCTGGGAAATGGAGCTCAGTGATTGGCTGAAAGGAACTTTCAGTGGTCCACTTTCGGCGATCCATTACGAGATTAAAAGACAGAGAAATCCTTAATGAAAAAGGCACAAATAAATGCCGAAGAGAAAATTTAATTGATTTTGAAATTAATAAGACGTCTCCATGCAGCAGTTTAGGTAAACTAAATAATTCCGCATTTTGTTTTTATCAACGCGTACCAGGCTATATTATACTAATACGAATTCATGCATTTCTTGTTTGTTTCAAGTGCATAATTTTTATTAACCTCGATTGCTCGGTCTTTACCGAGAAATACTGATCACGGACCTCGATCTTTTTGTACAAACCTCGTTCTTCGAGCTCGGTCTGTACAAAAAACCTCGGTCCGAATTTCTCGGCAAAGACCTCGCGCTCGGCTAATAATTAAGAAGCTAGTATTGTTCACTAACCTAAGTTTATAAATTTGGAAACACGTGGGTCAAGAGTGATGTGTGCTAAGATGTTCTTTATTTATTTAGATCATTCTCGTACATTAATATAAAGATCCCGTGTTAAAATAATGTCAACATGTCAGTCCTCTCGCTTGAGTTCACTGAGCAGCGAGCTCTCTCAAGCCCGCTGACCTATGCCTGCGTTGCTTGAACTTCATGTAACAGTCAGTGCAGTTCTCCCCTTTTTGGATGACAAGAGTACTGGTCCGTTTCATTTGGCTGGAGGGAAACCATAATAAGCTGGCTGCTGCTCGGCTGATCAGCGGGTCCTTAACTGGCCAACCCTTACGAAAATTCAAAAAATGGAATTTCTATAGGAAATTATTTCAAATACTCCTATAGGATCCTATTGGAAATTGGCCCCTGAGCCTGTAGGATCCTATAGGAATTCCTATAACTTCTTATAGGAATTCCTACAAGATCCTATAGGAATTCCTACAAGATCTTATAGAATTTCGTACAAGATCCTGTAGGAATTCCTAAACTATCGTATATATAGGAATTCCTAAAAGATCGTATAGGAATTTCTATAAGATCCTATAGGAATTCTTACAAGATCTTATAGAATTTCGTACAAGATCCTATAGGAATTCCTAAAATATCGTATAGGAATTCCTAAAAGATCGTATAGGAATTTCTACAAGTTCCTATTGGAATTCTTACAAGTTAAGAATATGTTTGAGACTTTAATGAATATGAAATTGTTTTGAGATTTCCAATAAAATTTATTAATATAAATCTACATATAAATCTACATGCATTATAAAATATATTAATAATTTACAGACAAACTAATCACACAACAATATGCTAATATATACATATACAATGAAGGAAAACAGTTACTCATTTTTTGTTTTCTGGCACCTCTCTGTATTGGTCAGCTTTGCTTTTATGTAACTTTTCACAGGCTTGTCATCTGGCAAGCGAAATAAGGGCCGTAGCTAGACCGCTTAATTGGGGGGGGGGGGTGTATATTCATATATTGATGTTTATATACCGTAGGAACAATAGCGTACAAAAGAAATCAGTCGGGCATAGGACGAATATATGAATATACACCCCCCCCCCCCAATTAGGCTTTTAGCTACAGCCCTGAGCGAAATCTCTTTACAACCAGGTCTAAAACACGAGGAAGCAATTCAGTTCAAAGCTGATCATATGGTAACACATTTAAATTTAAGTTAAATCTGATGCAGGTCCATAATTTTGTTGGCAAAAATGTTTAAAAATCAGCCATTGGACATACCTTTAATTTATTGTTTTGGCCTGATGATATTGAGTATTTAAATGGAATGAATTGAGAGAAATTAGGACTAAAGCTACTAACCACACAATGCAGCAACTTTTGCAGGTTCCAGTGATGGCTTTGGATGCTTAGTTTTGTCAGCATTTGAAACCTTTCCAGTAAGTGAATGTGTGGCCAACACATCCCTTGACCAAGTCATATCCATCAAAAGCATATGTGTATGCTTTAGCATTTCCATGTAAAGATAGCAACTCTTTCTGAGATGGAAGGATTTCAATCCCTGGAGCAAGTATATAACCTATAAACAAGTTAAGAATGTTAAGCCACAAGCAACTCTTTCACCTTGAACATTAAGCATACAACATAATAGCTCAATATTTGTAGATAATAGTAAATAACAGTAAATTAAGGCCCTATTATCCAAATGCACAATTAAGGTTTTCCTGTGAAGACATTTCAAATTTTCCTGTGATGACATTTACATGGACATTTACATGGTAACTTTTAACTGCATATTATATATTGAATCTAAATTACTATCCTTACCATTGTCTGTCCTTCTTCATCTGCATCATCAGGTTTAATTAGCACCAAACAGATCATTTGCATGGCACAAAGGTGATGATGGCTTCTGTAATATTTAATATAATACTTATAATAATAGTAATAATATTTAAGTTGTAATTAGTAAGAGTTTTGCAAAAAATGTTGAGTCGCAAACTATTCGAAAATAAGTACAACCTTCCTTTTAAATCAATGTCTCTAATAAAGTTTAATATAAATTCAATAACGTCAAACAAAACAGTTCTTGTTAACGACAATGCAACACACATGAACTGGATGAATATTTTAGTGCCATGCGGTATAAACAAGTTTTCAAACCCGACGTTTTTTATTTAAATCATGTCAAAAAATGAAGCAATAAAAGGATTGTCAATTTAACTTTTAAATCCACTTATACATATTATAATAATATATCCTTGCATTTTACATGCTTATAGAATTTTTGGTCGTAATAGATTTTTCTACTTCATAGCAGGTAAATATTATTACAGTGAATTTTTGTGACTACCGCGTAAGCGGTAGCCACTATGTCAAAGGCTGGCTTGATTGCTTGCTTGCTTGCTTGCTTTCTTAAAGTGCCTATATCACTTGTGGGATCTTTACGGATTTGAATAGAGCTTGAAAAATTAGCTTATAAGTTCTATAACCCTTTTTGATATAATTAAATAGTTTCGGAAATTTTACATCTAAACATGATGATTTACTCAGCACTATGTCACACAACTGATGTACGTCACACTGGGCAGTTTTCGCCATTTATCGCCAACCTTTCCGGTGAAATCAAACATGCAATTCAAATGCAAATTATTTTAGTATCAACATAGCTTTTCTACATGTACGTTGTTTTGCTTACATTTTGAGCTGTTTGAACTTTGCACGTCTTACTGAAATATAATAATCAATAATTTTTCGCCGTAACGATGCGGGATGTCTTTTTCATGGCACTGGTTTTCGATTCAAATGGCGAAGCAGCGACCTGATTTGCTCTTAAAATTGGCGAATAATTAAATTGGTATTCGCCAATTTTAAGAGCCAATGAGGTCGCTGCTTCGTTATTTGAATCGAAAACCAGTGCCATGCAAAAGACATCCCGCATCGTTACGGCGAAAAATTCATAGCAACACGAAAAGTATCGCTAAATTTTTCATATTTCTAGAGTTGTTTTCAACAGGAAAATGTACTGGAGAGCAATTAAAAACATCAAATTTTATTGTTATGATTTTTTTTGTGAGTTATGTTGCATATTTTCAATGTTTTTTGTCGATAGTTTTGAGGCTGTACGTCGTTAATAATTTATATTTATAGTTGCCAACCTTATCTTATTATAATACAAATATAGCAATTGGTGTTTACGTCACAGACCGCGATATTAAACCGGAAGGACGCTTTAGATTAAAACACAAATACCTTTGGGCTACCTAGGGTCTAACAAACAGTTCTTGTCAACGACAAACACAGGAACTGGATGAATATTTATAATAGTATTCCAGAAGCATATATATATATATATATATATATATATATATATATATATATATATATATATATATATATATATATATATATATTTATATATATATATATATATATATATATAATATATATTATATATATATATATATATATATATATATTATAAATGACGTAAGAACACACTATGAGATAGTTTCGAGAACGAAAAATCAATATATTGTATGCATACAATGTGATTTATATATATTGTAATATATTGCGTTTTGGTGATAAATTAATTTTAACGATACGAGTAAGAAACACGCAACGGAATATGTGGCAATAATAAGATATCGCAAATTTAAAAAAAACGCGAAGTCTTGCCCTAAGGAGTTAATTATCATTTAAACAAACGATGGAAAATCTCTTCGTTGGTACTGACGGTACCGATGGTGTGGCCGTTTAGTGCGCGTATTAGCTCAGCTGGAGTTCACGAAACGAATATATTTATTACTGATGGTGAAACTTAAAACGTAGTTTATGATAAAATTAACTATATACATATTTAAAAGAATTCTAAGTAAAACTAGACCATGCAAAATTAACTATTCTAATCACCATACATTTTCAGATGGACTGTTTAAACTCTTTTCGAAAGTATAATGATTGTTGTTCTTCCTAATTTTTATAGAAAAGGAGTACTTTGCACGTAAAGTTAAAATCTAAAAAAGTTTAAAAAACCTCTGCAATTTTAACATTTAGTCCAAAAAACGTATCCTACTTCAAATTCTTTTCTATAAAAAGGTGATCTAGATCCCCTTACACTCGCATGTACCGATCTTAGAATTTCGAAAGAGATTCTGATTCTCAACCAAGCTATGACAACTGCATAACGTTCATGATCTCTTTCTGCTAATTTCTGCGCCAGCTGAGTAAGAAACTTCTGGCATTCAGACCGATGGTTAAAAACTTTACCGATGGTAAATAACCTTTTCCGTGGTTGCGAGAGTATTGGACATATATGGGGAATTACTCGAGTTAAGCGACAGTTATATTTAGGTCAGTGTTACCTGACATGCGAAAATGAAAGTGTACCGAAAGGTCGACCGGACGACAAACATTGGAATGCAAAGCATTTTAGCATTTGATACAGCTTTTAATTATTAATTCTTATAAAAAACTAAAAAAAGGTATCCTGTAATTGCTCAAATTGCGAGGAAATTTTCCTTTTTGATTGACCCAGCCCTTGTGTATGTAACGAAACAGCCTATTAACAATCAAATACATGATATTCCAATTTGTTTGGTTTTATGTTTCAGAGGATATAATTTTATACATGTTCGATTTAAAGATAACTAAGATTTAAATCATTTAATGCTCTGAGATGTCGTTCTTATTGATTTTCGATTTTAGGGTGAAACACTGCAAACGATTAACTATTTTGAAAAAAATTAAAACGATTCCTTTCAGATCAGATATTTAAATGTAAAGTCCGTCGCCGTATTTTCTTCTTATTGTCAATTTCAGCTGTTGTGGAATATTCACAGTTGCCGCTGACAGAAGTAATGACGACTGATCGAACATGGCAAATCATTCCATTTCCCTGTTGCTCCGTTGAACATTTCCACGCAGTTTTCATGCCCCCCGGAGTTGTTAGGCTCCCCTGTGTTCCAGTTTTCATAGGAGATCTCCTCATCTCTCACTGTGTAAAAGATGTTTCCGGATTTTCGGTACATACCAATCCACGCTGCGTTGACGTTATGTTGTTTCATAGCCTGATTTAGATTATTCATATTCGTGTTGGCTGGAACTGCCAAATGACCGCCACGCTGACGACAGTCGTCTTTCGCACTGTTCCATGATGTCGCAACGCCATTGCTGATATAAAAACAGAGTCCATCGAAAGTCTCCCACCCAAGAGGGCATTTATTAGCTGAAAATATTGTTTAAGATACATTCTCTTTAGTATATCTGTCTCCGACAGATACAACGAAGGTGTAAACATTAATTCGTACAACGCATGCGGAAAACCCTTGTTTCGGTTAAACGAAATTAGTTAAGCATGGAAATGGTAACATGTTAGAAAATTTATGTCGGTTGGGAGTTTGGATGGGTGTGTGAGAAAAGAGATATGGAAAAAATTGCCAAAATACGACAATTAAGACCTAGATTCTCACCTTATTCGGAGTTTAATTTTTCTCATCTATATAGCCAGTGTTATGTTAATTTATTTTATCTATAAAGAGGGAGCCTCTGCAAAACCGGATAATTGGACCTGAGCTTCAAAAATAGATTTCTTTTTTATTTTTCTGCCCTCTGCAAGGAGAATGCCTAACGAAAACTATAGTATACTAAGCGACCGTGAAGAATGAAAGTACGAGATAATCTCAAACCTACGTTGGCCTTAATATTATTTACCACGAAACAGTTCTGTTGTAAATAAAATTCGTTGAAGTAACCCGTGTTTCTCAACCTGTGTTATACCGCTCTCTGCAAGCATTAAGCACTTTATCCGGACGATTTTGATTTTCTGTCATCGCAATACTATGGCAATACTATGTAAACTTGGCATCATTGAAAAATATCAGTATATTTGCTATGTTTTGTTTTTTATTATGTGTATAGAGATTTATGCACAGCAGAATGATGAAATAAAATCGTATTTCATTGTGTAAATTAATTTCATGCAATTTGATTCGACGTAAAATGTTTATCACGTGTGAAAAATGCCATAATTAAATATGGGCTCATATGTACGCTTTTTATTATGAAATTGTTGTAAAGGATCGCAAACTCGCTCGTTCGCTACGCTCACTCGTTCGTTTTGCGATCCTTCACAACTCGTGCAAAAATCGTACGTACTTGCCAACCATGAAGTAATAATCTCTATTTATTTCACAACTGAAAACAATTTTATAGCTACCTTCGCATTTTCGTCCTTCTCCTGTGTAACCAGGTTGACACTGGCAGTTGAATGAACCTGGAGTGTTGAAGCATTTTGCATTTTTGTCACATTTGTGCGTTCCTTTTTCACATTCGTCGACATCTAGAATAATAATCAAGGTATATATTGAAGTTAAGAACATCATTAGCATCATACATTTACAGGAAACTGCTCGGTCGAGGAATGTAGCTCTTTCAGTACTTGTATATAATGCAGTGCAATCAAGGCAGGAACTAGCGTTAAAATATTTATATTCATATAATTCTGTTCTCCAAGAGGGACTTTTTTTAAAAAACGGACACGCACATATATATAGCCTATATATATATATATAGCTA